CTCCATAACTTTGCCAGCACTTGGTATTTCCTAAGTTGATTGTTTCTTCTTGACTGTAGCCATCCTAATGGAGGTGAAGAACTATCCCACCGTGGTTTTCAACTACATTCTGTCCAGTCACTCTTCCAAGAGTCCTTTGATCATTTTGGTTCCCAAAACTCATCTCATTTTAGTAAATGAAATAGGCAGAATAACACCCCAACGCCTGAAAAGATGTCTTCATTCTAATCCCCAAACCTTACTGTTCATGTTACATGGAGTGTGGAGATGCCACATTACAAGAGGGAATTAAAATTGCAGAGAGGGCCGGCCAAATAGCTCAGTGGATTAAAGTGCCTGCAAGCAGGTGCAGGGGCCAGAGTTCGATCCCTGGGCCTGCCATGCCTACCCTGTCCCCAGGGCACACTGAGATGGCAATTGAGACTGGGTGTTGTGGCACGCGCCTGTAATCCCAGCACTTGGGGGGCTGTAAACAGGAGAATCACTATGAGTCCGATCTAGTAGTGAGACCCCAAATACCCTGTAGACCTGTCCCTAAAATACAGAAATAAATAAATAAATAAAAGTGCTGAGACATTAAGGTCAAATCAGCTTACTCTACCCACAGGATGTGGGACTCCCCGGTGCTGGAGTTGGAAGGCGTGGGAAGATCCTTTTGCCTGAGGCAGGGGGGCACATCTTTGAGGCGCAGCAGGTCCCCAGTGGTGGTTCTCTTCCTTAGCACCTGGTGACCTCGCCCTGTGAGCCCCTCTGGGCCCCTGGGTGGTCCTTGTCTCTGGCCATGTGCTATCTATTCCATCCTCATCCCTGCTGCCAGGGCAACCTCCAGACTTCTTTGGCTGAGGGTCCCTGTCCTTTGCCATGAGGCCTTCGGGCATCTTTTCCAGTCACATGTTTCCCCATAATCTCTGGCTTCCTCCCCTTCACCCCCAGCACTGGAAGAGGCACCGTTTTCTCTCCACTGTGTGGCCGTGTCTTTGCTTGGCCATTGGATGAGCAGTGGCAGCCACTCCCTTTGAACTTCTCCGAAGCAGAAAGGGCTTAAAATTCACTAGCATGTTGTGCTTTAGCTCTAGAATGTCCTTCTTTTGATGACAGTTATGAACTACTTCTCTATGCTTGCGTGTCAAGGTTTGCCAAGTGCATTCTTTAGTTCGCCACTGTGAGTGGCCCACCCCCACAGGAGGCAGAAATAATATTGCCCAGTAATGCCATGGCTGTAGTGACTGCAAATGAAGTTCATAAGACCTTGGCCATTTAGAGATGACTTGCATCTTTTCCTTAAGTGACTTAGTTTCCAAGGGCTATTTTCAAAGTCCCATCTTCTCCGAACATTTGTCTTGAACACCCACACTTCCTGGCTTTCTCAGCTCAGTCCCATTGCACCATTTTTATGTGGGAAAAGAACATTTTTTCAGGAATGTTCAACTCATGCAAGTGACTTTTAACCACAACTTCCTCTCTCCCACCTCTTCTGTGTGTTGCCCAAGTTAGACCTTTCCTGTGAGTGCAAAGGATACACGCACAATGAAATTCATCGTGGCTTGTGTCACTAGCTGTCACTTATGACACAGAAGTAGGATAGAAGAAATAAAAATAGTTACAAAGGAAACAAGGAAAATTATAATATTAACACTGTTCTTTCACAGAAAAACCGCAACTTCAGGAAGCAAAAGCTATTCAGGCTTTTTCTCCCCTTCTAGAGGAAATCCCTGAGGACCTCAAAGACAGCGTACCTATAAGCCGAGTGCTCAGGCTGGGCCTGCCCCTAGCAGCTGCCTTCTGTCCTGCCAGCCGCTGTCCTTAGGAAACACGCTGTCCAGAGGACAGTGGATCCAGCTTCACACACACACACACACACACACACACACACACACACACACGCCGAAACACCCCTCAGACAACCCACCCTAGGAAGAGCCCTGATCTCCCCAGATTCTCCCACTGAAGGCTGCTGCCTTTTTGGAGGGGCCACATGCTGATTCATCCCTAGTACCAGTGGAAGGAGGAGGAGGGCAATGGGGGAGAGCCACGTGCAATTTATTGGAAAGCAGCAGGGTGGGGTGACACACCACCACCTTGGCATTTAGACACTGCAGTCTTCAGTGTGAGAAGACTGCCGAGGGGCGCGCGACGATTCAGGGTGCGTGAGGATGCGGGGCTGCAGTCGCTGCTGAGGATGTTGTAGGCTCCTGATGTCTGGAAGGCAGATTTTCTCATTTCTTTGTCCCTTGTGTTCCCATTTCTCAAGATGTTCTGGTTTAGTCAGGGCTGTGCCCTTTGCCTTTCAGTCTTTCCTTTCCCGAGGCTCCCCTTGGGCTCACGCAGGTCCTGGCCTTCAGCTTATGGAGTGCACTCAGGTTCTCGCCCTAACTCACCTCTCGCCCCTCTATCTCCTGGCCTCAGGAGACCTATAGCCAGCCTCGGAAAGACATGTGGAGCTTGAAAAAGCCAGGGTGGAGCTGTCTTCTCAGAGTTGGGATTAGAAAACGAGGCAAACTCGGTCTGAACTCCTGGAGAGGACTGGAGGACTGAAAGCCAACATGGAGAGTCGAAGGGGCTTAGGAGCCCCTTGAGTAAGTGCAGGGTCAAGGGTGGAGAGGGCAGGGCAGCAAGCAAGAGTCAAGGCCCGCCCCAGCTGTGTAGAGAACTGAGACCTGGACTTAGCTCCTTAATGATAGCTCTCTCAATAGCAGAAGATGAGCACCCTGGGTTGTCACTGTTAGAGAAGGTCTTGGGCAGGGCATGGAGCTCAGTGATAGAGTACTCAGCATGCCTGAAGGCTTGTGTTGAGAGAGGGAGGGAAAGTGGGAGGGAATGAAGGAAGAGAAGGAAGGGAGGGAGGGAGGGAGAAGGAGGGAGGGGAGAGAGAGAGCGAGAGACAAAGCCACGGGGGGGGGGAGAGAGAGAGGGGGAGAGAGGGAGAGGGAAAGAGGGAGGGAGAAGGAGGGAGGGGAGAGAGAGAGCGAGAGACAAAGCCAGGGGGGGGGGGGGAGAGATCTAACCTCATTTAAGAACTTTGCTAAACCTAATTTTTCTCATTTGGGTTTTTTGTTTGGTTGCTTTTGGTTTTATTTTATTCTGAAACAGAATTTTGGTATGCAGCCCAAGCTGGCCTCAAGCTCATAGTGACCTTCCTGCCTCAGCCTCCCAAGTGCTGGAATTACAGGCATGCCATTTTTTCTCATTTATAAATCAAGTACAACTATAGCTATCATATGAAACAACGTGAGCACTTAGCACAGTGCAAAGCTGATGCACGCTGTGAAGAACATCGCAGCTGTGGAGCAGATAGCACCTTTTATTGCTGCTATAACCTGTAAGTGAAATGAAAGAAGTAACAGAGGGTCCACGGCCGGCTCATTCAGTTCTCCTTTCATTCCCCTGTGGGGACAGTTCCCTGTACTGCATTGAAAGTGAGACACGCATTTCCCAGACTCCCTTGCTCTTAGGTTGCCAAATAGGTCCCACCAGTTAAAGACGCTCTTGTGACGCGGAGCACGGAAGGATGTGGAGGCCATCTTCTTGCAGCTTCCTCTGGAAGCAAAGTCACAGAGCAGCAGGAATGTGAAGACAGCCCTGCGTGAGCTCCAGACAGACCCCTGCTCTGCCCTTCACATTAATCAGGAGGGTAGCCCTGATTTCTGCTCAGAGCCTTGGTAAGCATCCAATGCCTGTATTAAGTCCTTTCTGCTTGAAATACCTAGAGCGATGGTTCCCACTTCTAGCGAATCCTGAGTGATTCTGAAATGGGAGTTTCATCAAAAGAAATATACACATACATGTCTGCGAAAAATTTATTTCACACTGCTGCCTCAGATTTAAACTATTTTAAGATTTAAATTATGAGTTAATTCCCATGTTTGAATCAATTTGATGTTTTCCCACGGATGCCACTGTCACTGGGAGCTGTCAGCGTAACATAAGCTTTCTGGGATCCTGAACAGTGAACTCAGACTGTCATGTAGGTATTCAGAGCATTTGTTTGTACTGATCATCAACTATTCTTAATTTATACTTTATTAGGTTGGGAGGAAAATATTCCTTGAAACATCTATCCTTTTTTCCTTTCATAGTAATTTTTGTTATTATTGCTGTTGCTTTTGTTTTTGAGACAAGGTCTTGCTATGTAGTTTGGGCTGGTTTTGAACTCACTGTGTAGCCCAGGCTTGCTTTGGACACATGGCGATCTTCCTGACTCAGCCTCCTGGGTGCTGGGGTCATTGGTGTGTGCCGCCATACCTGTACCTTTCATAGTACAAAGAACTCCAGTTCTTAGCAAGGGACAGGGCTAGCCAACTACAATGCATTCGTCTCTTGCTTAATGCTGACCTTAGCTGTGTGTCCACGTTCTAGCCAGTTAGATGGAACAAATAAAAATATGTAACTCCTATAAAGTGCCTCCAAGACCAGTGCACACCCGTTCCTCCTCCTTCCTTCCTTCCTATGGGCTAAACTACGAACGTGATGATAGGAGCACCATCAGCTAATCTGTGTCATGAGGTAGAACAGGACTCCTGGCAGAGTAGAGAACAAGCTTGTTGGCTGCAGAGCTGCCACACAGAGCTGGGTTGCATGGGCTTCTTCTATACAAGGAAACAATCAGCCGCCGACTTTTGAAAGTCACTGTTACTTGGCTGATATTTCTGTTACTAACTGCAACCCGAACTACCCCTAATGAGAGCAGGAGGGAGCCCCAGGTCTCTCTTCGCATTAGCCATGGGCAGTTCTCAGCTGTGAACCAGTGCATTTTCTAAAGCTGCCTATCTGCTCCTATGCAGCAGGGCAGGCTGTCAAAATTGCTCTCTGGGTTGAGAATTCAACACACCTAAGGAATCTCAATGAAGCCAGGTCACTGTGTGCAGGAAAAAAATTGTAGGCCAACCAAGTCACTTTGATTTACACATGCACGTTCAGAATCAAACAAAGGTATGAGTCTGGGGTTGAATGGAAGGCAGGTCCTCGGTCTGAGCTGAGGTGTCTGTTAGGACTGGAGTTGCTCATTTGCAGGACTGAGCTTTTGCCTTAACTGACCCTCTTCTTGTCATCAAGTGACCTCGGCTCCCCTGACAGCATATCCATTGGTGCAATCTGTCTTGTAGTGCTCTGTTCTGGAGCCCATAGATCAGAGGGTTAAAGCCCTGGGCAAATGCAAAGACACCAAAAAGGACCAGGTTTACAGCAAAGAAAACTATGCCACACTTCTTTCCCAAAGCTATGAATGTCAGGGTCGGCACTACATGTAGACTTATCTGCAGGAGATGAATAAGGACTGTTTTCTTTGCTTTTGTGTTTGACTTATTAAAATGGCCAGCTCTTTTGCCCTCTTGATAGATCAGAAAGTAACTTACAAGGATAACGGACAAAGGGAGGAAAAGGAAAAGCATGCCAGTGGCCCTGGCAGGTATGCCATTCAGGATCACAGGGCACACGGGCACAGATTGTAAAATAGAAACTGGGGTGGGACTAATGCCCTCTATGAGGAATAAGCAGACGTTCTTGGATACAATGACTACCCAGACCCCAGCCAGAACCCTGTACTTCACTGAGTCTACTAAGCACAGAGATTTCAGTGGCCAGCAAACCAGCAGGTAGGTGTTGAGAGCCATCAGGGCTAGAGTGAAGAGAATCCCTTCACCAACACTGAGCTGCGCCCCAAACACCACCCAGCACATCAGCAGGGGGCTGTGGGCCTGCAGGGCCCGCATTCCTTGGAAAATGACCCCCAGTGCACAGTAGGAGGAAATGCACAGCAGGTGATGGCAAAAGAGGATGTGCCGGATCTCTCGCCGCAGCTTCCAATTCTGGGACACTGCAGTGACCACGAGGACAGTGATGGACATGGCAAAGGAGGAAGTGACCACATACACAGAGGCCTTCACTGTTGCTTCCAGCCTCAACCAGTCCGAAATGTTGCAGGGCTCAGAAGAGAGGTTCATAGTCTTCAGGGTGGCTCAGCTTCTGCAGGAGAAAAGAACAAGAATGAGGGAGATAAAGCCTCTTGTGTAGTTTTCCAGCTCTCAGACCTGTGTACATTCTCTAGAAATAGATGGCATACTCTCTGCAAGAGACGATGACAATTATTTTTGAGACAGGATCTCACTCTGCAGTTCAAGCTGGCACTGAACTCATTTTATAGCCCAGGCTGGCCTTAAACTCACAGTAATCCTCCTGCCTCAGCCTCCCCAGTGCTGGGATTACAGATATATATCTCCACATCTTGTTGACAATTTCAGATAATATTGGTAGGCATCAAAGAAACTGGAGGCGTCATCTGTTATTTCCTACTCAGAGGAAAGCAGGAGCACATCACGCATGAGGACGGTGAGAAAGGTGAGTTCTCAGTAGGCCACAAAGCACTCAAGTACAGGTCGAGGCTCCAATGCTTATGCATATTATTCGCTCTTTGATTATGAGAGTTCCTTCAATTAGAAGCTCTCACAATCCAAGACTGACATCTGTTAACACTAACACCTATTATCAGTACATGAAAAACACTGGGAACAACTCAGGGTAAGAACTGTGAGGAGAGAGGAAAAATTGTAACTCAGAGCCTTGAACTCTTTAAGGTCTATTAGACGTAAGAGGAAAATGAACAGTAATGACAGCAATCACGGGTGGCCTTCACTGTGTGCTTTGGAAGAGTCAAAATCTGCTCTCAGAGCATACTCCTCTCTGCCTCAGATGCATCTTATTTATCACCAAGTAGTTTTATTTTCCACTTTTCACAAATGAGAAAACTAGGACTTAGGAAGTCTAAGTGCTGTAATTTGGATCTTGGATGTTCCCCGAAGACCTGTGTTAAAACTTGGTTCCAAGGAGGGTGCTACTAGGAAATGATGGATCCTTTTAAGAGGTGGGGCCTGGCAGGAGGTTTTTGGGTCACTGGGGCTGTGGCCCTGAAGGGGACTGTGGGAACTTCATCTCCTCCATACTCTCTTTTGCTCCCTTGCCATGAAGTAAGTGTTTTGCTTTACCATGCACTTGGTCCATGATGTGCACCCTCACGACAGTCCCAAAAGCAAAGGAATTGACCCTCTAAAACTACAGGCCAAAGTAAACCTTGCCTAAGTTGATTACCTTGGGTATCTGTTGCACTGGTAGAAAGCTGACTTACACACTGAGCTGCTTGCCGAAGGCCATGTGGTTACTGCATAGTGGAGCCACAGTTGGGGTGTGGGAGCCCTACCCCAGAGCCTAAACCCTCAAGCACTGTGAGAAAGCTCATGTCACATGCAAGGTAAGGGAATGGGCTCTCTAGATCTCCTTGGCCAGTGTCATCTGGCCAGCCAACTGCAATACGTGGGCAAAATATTGTGTGTGTTGATGGAAGCCAGTAGACTGCACACCCAGGAAAGTGCTGGGGTCTCAGGATCGCCGAGGGAATGTGGCTACTGCAAAGCTAGGCACATAGCAGCCTCATGTGTGCACAGAAGTCAGTGCCACACTGTGACAGCCTGGGCACTCACGAGTCTCAGTGTCACTGCTGTTGCCATGAAGCCCATAGTGGAAACGCCAGCTGTTGCCTGCTCACCTCAGCTCCTTCCAAGGCCCATTATATCTCACACTTTCCTGTGACTTTGCCTCATCAAAGGTGGCTGAAGAAAAAAAAAAATGGTGGCTGACATCTGCCTCATAGAAGATCGTTCTGCAGACCGCACTGAGTCAGCTGAATCTGTCTCTTGAAAATCGGACCCAAGGCACAAGAGCTCATGGCAGACAAAGAGAACAAATGCCTCTTTGCTCCTGACTTTCTGACTACACCAAGGAGCCCTCGATTTTCCATCCTTGGATTCTAAAATTGAAACATACACCCATTATCTGAGTTAACTTAAATGGGGTTCTCTTCTATCCTTTGCCCTCCATATTCAAAGTCCCTAAAACGGGCCTTGATGAGACACTGTGTATGATACTGATTTCCTAAAGGGCACATCACAAAGAGATGTCACTATTCTGACTTCCTGAATATCTAAACACCCAAGCTCTTCATGAAACCCCGGACTGAAGACACATTTCTTATTTCCTGTGTTGCCATCCTCTGTGGAAAATTTGCCCTGTTCTGATGGTTTTTTGGTGCCATTGTTATGCTTGTGAACTCCAAGCATTTATTTTCTCTGCTCCCTGCAGAGAGGAACAGAAATTGGAATGGTCATTGTTGAAGTTATTGATAATCAATCTTTCTGACTACACCAAGGCCTTGAACTCTGAACTGTGGCTCTGACTATGCCACAGAGCCCTGGACTTTCTGTTCTTGGATTGTAAAAATCTTGATCAAAATCTTATATAAGAACTCTTCAAGATTAAACAGAAACATGCTGTTAATGGTGTATTATCTAACAAGTCCCTCAAAGCCTCACGCACTCATAGATGCGGCTTTGGGGAGGTCAGTTGTGTCAGTCTGAGTGAAAAAACAGCAAAGTAACTTGGCTCAGCACACTTCTGGGTATGGGAGGCCCAATCTAGGAGGCATATTACCCGAATGGGGTGAAAGGGAAACAAAGAAGGAAGGATTGCTTCTGTGTTCTTTGGGGGAGCTCCAGCCTTTGCTTTCACCTCAGACACTGTCTGCTGGCATCCATGTAGACTCCTCTCCTGGCTCTCACTCTTCAGTCTCCAGCGCAGGCCCATTGGTTTCCTGATGGGGACTCGAGACACCATACAGAGCTTCAGGCCATCCACTGGATCTTCAGATCCCCGGGGCACAGGCAGCCCTTCTGTGCTCTTCCACCCCTGACTCTGTGGGCAGCCGCTGTAGACAACCTTGGAAATCCTTATGTATTTGTACATCTTGAATTCTCCCTGTTTCTCTAGGAAGCACTGACTGATGCAGGAGCTGACTGGATCACTGGATCGTGGGTGTGTGATACTGGGTTACAGTGTTCCACCACTATTTTGCAAGCAGCCAATCCTAGAATGTTACTCGGTTCTCCTGGCTGCTGATTGGCTGCTGCCTTTTAACCCTTCACTGCAGATGCGCCAGCATTCCTACATCACAACCAGTTGCAGTACCACATATGGGAGCGTTTTTTGATTCTGTTCTTCTTAATCCTGTAAGATCCCTAAGATGCTGCTAAAATGCCCTACACCCTCTAAGCCTTTATTAATATAGTATTTTATTAAACAAAATTACATAACTACAGGAAACACAGCATATTTAGGGTTTAAACTATACAAAATAGACATCTATCTATAGACTTTTTTTCTGGCCATATCTGAAATTTGTAGCGTTTCAAAACTCATGGGTGTTCTAAGGATACAACCCCCATGAATTTTGGGAGATCCACTATAGTTCACTGATGGGTTTACAGCTGGGCATGATATTGGGAGGCAAACTCTGGTAGAGGGAGGTAGGCCACTGTGGGCATATCTACCTCTACTCCGCTCATCCCTTCCTGCTTCCTGTAGCCATGCCATGGACTGTTCCTACTTTGCCATGCCGCCCTGCCTCCGGCCAGCTGGCAAAAGACTAAAACTTCTACAAACTATGACCCAGAATAGACCAATCCTCCTCTAACATGTAGGAGTTGGGTATTCTGTCCTAGCAATAAGAGAAGTAACCAAGACAGGTGCACATCTGCTGCTGTCGAATTCTTCCTCCTAACTGCTCATTCCCAGAGCACACCCCATAATGGCCCTTAGGGCACCACCATAGAAACTGTGGGCCAAAGGGGAGACTGTGTGAAAACCCTGGTGAGCTAGAGAAATCCTTGGACCCAGGAACTCCCATGAACCAGGCCCTACTCCTAGATCTGTCGCTAATAGACCACGGCTTTGCTACCGAAGTCACTTCGCAGGCTCCACATCCTTTCTCTCTGCATCTACCCAAGGTGCTCTCACTCACCCATCCTCAAGAGCTAACTCAACTTGGGCCCAGAGTACCCAGGTTTTTGCCTTTTCTCCCCAGTCCCACCAAGAGAGAGCTCCTATGCCATTTCCCTGGGCTTGGGCCTGGTCTCACTGATCTGCGTGGAGCCCTAGCTCTCTAGACAGAGCCACCTGGTCCTGTCACACCTCCTCCCAGGCCCAACACCCAGATGCTGGGCCCCAGGTCTAGGATGGTTGCTGCAGGTGAAGTCCACAGTGCTGAAGGCCTCCTCCCACCTGGGGCTCTAGGGCGGCCCATCAACACACTTGCTAGGGCTCATGTTGTCAGGTGTGCCCTGCCAGGGGCCACAGGCTCCATTATTCAGTTTTGGTTTTCATTGTTCATTCTGCCCAGAGCCCCACACATCCTCTGCAGCACACCTGCTGGGTCCTGCACTGCTGTTCCATGCAGCTTCCCTGCACCTGCTCAGCCACACACACACACACACACACACACACACACACACACACACACCACACATACTGCCTGGTTGCATTCCACACTTAAAATACTACATACAGTATGCAGTGACTGAAGGTCTAAAAGCTGTTCTTTTTTTCTGCTGAATTCGTGCAGCTAACTCTAGGTGCAAGGTATCGTAAAGGTTGACGTACTAAGATCTCCTACTCTGGATCTGAAGTGGTGTCAGGGAGCTATTCATTGTGGAGACCAGACAGGAGCTTGATCCTTTAGTTTTCTAATAAACACATCCACCAGCATGACACATTGTCTCCTCATTATCCTCAGTCAACCTCTCTTGAGCTCTTGAAACAGAGAGTGCATAACCCTACACTGTGAGGCCATAAGGGATAAAAGTCTCTAATGTACAGAAGACAGTGTGGAATGTGATTTATTTAATAATCGCTCAAAACATCATCTTTAGTTTTACTTCCTGACTAAATGAGTAAGACAGCTGGGTGTGCTATGGGAGGGCTGTACAGAAAAAAAAAAAAAAAAGAATCAGGATGGTCCTGTGCAATCAGAGAAGGCTTCTTGGAAGGAAGGAAGGCTTGAATCAGGCTTTGTAAGGATAAGGCAGTGAATAAATGTTTTTTTTGGAGTGGGCTTCTATGG